TAAACACGTTCACGCTATTGATTATGGACTATGCAAAAGCTTAGTCCTGTTGAGTATGGAGCAGATCAGAGCTACTGCTGATGTACCATCCAGTCTTATTTTGAAGCGGTGTTGCGGAAAATTACCAAGTCACACAGACGCACGAGAAGTTTAATTTCCACTCGGGGAAATGCGATAGGTAGATAGCTAGAGAAGTCAAAGACGATGTTCTCTGAACTGAGAAACGGTAGAGTAGAGACTGCCCTAGCTGGTACTACAAAAGAGTACGTAGTACTTTGCGAGCTAGTAGATTCTTCGAGATGATGCATGCATTGCATACCTTCTTCTTATTCGGCACTTCTGTCCTTTTGTTAAGAAGGGAACCCTAGATCCTTATCTATCTGTCAGAACCAACTACGTTTATTAAAATTGCGGCGGCGTCCATGTTGTCTATGAATTTGATACCTTACTGACGATAGTTGGTACGATCGATTAATTGATATACGTACTTTGATAATATTTAACAGGTTCGCTCAGCATAATCCAAGCTGATCACATGGTAATCTTGTGATGAAGATTTGTGGAAAGCAATGGACCACTCGGCGAGTACATGCACTGTACCTAGAGTGGCTCGTTCAACACTCGCGTGGTGGATGTGGGTACGTAGAAATGCTATTTATTTTTCTTTCAGAAAACATACATGATGCATCTAAGTAGAAATGTAGAATGTTTGAATCGAAAAAAGAAATGTAGAATGTTCGGCGTGGCAAAAATGTGATGGACCGTGGACGTTCAGCCAACTGGGGCTGCGTAGATAAACTAGAGCCAAAGACACAAACACTTTGCATAAACAAGAGGCAAAATGGCAAACGGACACACCCTAGCCGTAGCCGGCGGCGAGCCAGGGCTGCTAATCCTCACTTACCTCTGATTTTTTTTTTTTACCGAGCAGGCAACAGCCACATGCGACTGCCGAACTAAACAGAACAAGGGTTGACTCCCAAGAACGACAACGCCTTTTTTTTTGCATCATGAAGCCGTATAATCGATCCGAATTTACGAAGCAAGTAAGCATACAAATAGAACCAAGATTAATCCAGTAGGAAGCATCTTACTAATACAATCCTCAAAGAAAAAACAATGAAAACGAAAACTATCTGAGGTTGTGTACATGAGTTTTTGATTCCAATTTGATCTAGATGCAATTACCCAAAACCGAAAAACCCAATTAAATGAAACTAAAATTTTTGGTTTTAAATTAGGTTTTCAATAGTAGCTAACTGATTTTTTTATAGTTATTACTTTGGTTTCATACCGGTTAACCATGTCACTCAGAAGAACCGAAGTGTGCCCAACAAGACGATATATAGCCCAAACCTAATGGAGAAAATAAAACCTAAATATCATTGGTTCATATTCTAGAACCAACCCCCTCCCCCCCCCCCACTCCATGAGCCCTCGAGCAAGCAACAACACCTAACCCTCAAACCTACTATGAGCGGGTGTAACTGATTTTTTTTATAGTTATTACTTTGATTTCATGCCGGTTAACCATGTCACTTGAAGAACCAAGTGTGCACAACAAGACGATATATAGCCCAGACCTATCCACAAGCCCTCGAGCAGCAACAACCTAACCCCTCAAACCTAGTATGAGCAGGTGCCCAATGGGTGTTTCTCCCGCACCACTCTGATGGCTAGCGGTAGTAACACTTGGTGGGGAGTCTATAGCCCTGCTTAGATATTACTTTATGTTATTTTTTACAATAACAAATTAATAAGGGGTAAAAATGCAAAATTCATAATTATTTTTAGATAACCTTTAATAATTATATGATGGATAAGTTTGATCTAGACTTAAGGGGATAATTTGTGCACATTTAGTGAGTTATTTCCTAACTTTACATAATGGCAACGCTGACTTGTTTGTATCCATATTCAAGGTTACTTTAGTTCAATTTATACAATGGTTGAGGTGGATAATTTAGAAACAAATTATATCCAATGACTATCATTGTCAGTCTACACACAGTTAGATGGTGTGATATTTAAATTCATTTTCTAGAAATTTCTTCGATTGCCCTTTTTTAGACTTTTTTCTCTTTTCTGGAACTAACCCATGAACCTGTGCTCCTGCACATCTAGAATATTGCATTTATATGAATACTAAAAGTTCAGTGGATAAATTTGGTACGTACAAATAATTAATTTTGTTTGTATTCATTTGCTAGCACAATGTATATTTAAAATTTTCTATATTCTCTATCTAGTTATGATATATTTGTCAATTACTATGTATGTGTTTTTATCGTTGCATTGCACCTTAGTAGTTTCTTAATATGTATTTACTTGAAACCTAACATAAACTATAACTGCTATTGTTGTATTCCTTCTGTAGTTCTGTGACATCAGGAATCGATATTATGGCTTCCAAATTTTGATCTTATTCGATGCCATATTTTTTTTTATTCACGTGTTAAGTTGAAATGGTGCCTATCTTATCTTTTTTCCCCTAAATTTTCCACTTATACTTTATTGAAAAATATGTTCTAAGTCCTAGATTATATCTTAGTTACTACAATGACATAAATAGTCACTTCGACCTGCACTAAGGCACTGGTAGTATTGGTCTATGAAAAATAGAGTGTTTATAATTAAACTGCCCAAATTGGTATGTTAAAATATAAAAAATATTTAAAGTAACCACTTACAAATATTATTGTGATAGAGTTTTAATATATTTTAGAATGTTTTTAGTGTCACTAGTATATGCATGTTAAGGGAATATTTTTTCATGACCGATAAAACTATATAAAAATATATATATTTATTACTAATATATGCATGTGTACTTGTTATACTAGTATATTTAATTCAAATGTAGAACTATAGAACTAGGTAATTTGGAATCATATATGATGTACTTGATGGTTATTTACTTCTTTTTCATCGCAGATTATATATTGGTGGTTTAGACGTAAATTTGGTGTGGCTCCCGTTTGTGGTCTTTGGATCGGAGCCGGAGCCCCTCCGACATAGTTCGTTTTGCCACTCCACCTCTATATCTCAAAATGGCTTCAGCTCCGACTCCATCTCTATATCTTAAAAGTTAAAATAGCTTCGGCTCCGACTCCATGTATTTAGCACCAAAAGCGCTTCTCTTGGCGGACTCGTTTGGTGTGGCTCCACCCGCTCCGGTGTGAGAGCCACACCAGATGTGAGTAATTTAGATGTAAATACAATGATGTCTATGTAGTAACTTGTGTTTTAGTCCTTTCTTGTTCTCGTTTCTTCTTTGAGTTGGTTTCTATTCATTTAGTCCAGTATTTGGAGAAAAGACAGCAAATTTGCAGCTAGCTATGACCAGTGGAAAATCAACGGTCAGAGCTCGAAACTGTAATGCCTATCCCCAAATTGGGAACGATCCAACAGACAGACGCAGTTTTCCTCCGGTACGGTCAAGCGGCTTGAATCTTGATCATGTCTTCACAAAAGGTTGGAAAACACGGTTGCACTCGCACTAGTAGCCATCTGAAACCACCATACGTTCCTCGTCCCATTCGCCGCGAATTAAACTAGGCACCCGAGACACTTCCAGCCGCTTTCCTGGTCTGTATACAATTCCTCGCCGCCGGCCGCCGCGCGGTGCTCGGTACGGAGCACTCACTATACGTAGCCGCCGGCGCGGTCGTCGCGCGGTCCCCCGGCCCCCGCGCCCACCGCCCAATCCGCAGCGTCCAGCGGCCTCATCGCACTCGCAACTCGCAAGCGATCGAAAGCGGCAAGCAGCCAGCGACCAATTAAAAACACAAAGGTTTCTGGCCCATCCCAAGCTAGTATACGTATACTCCGTAGAATAATATACGGGCTAGAACCAAAGGTTTCCGCTCGTGCGCGACCTTGACCTGATCCAAAGTTCCACTTCCGCGTGCTCGATCGGCTCTTGGCTACAGCTTGCTGCATTGACCCGTTCAAGTTTTTTTTTTTTGACTCGGAACGCTCGGAACGCTGGGACCCGTCCTGCTAGTACATACGATCCCAGCCATGTACGAACGACGCGACTTCCCAGACTTCTGATCCAGTAGTAGTAATAGGAACTACCAACCCGTGTTGTTCCGTTCTTCATCCCAGCTGCGCCTATAAATACTCACTCGTGCATCGACCTCGCCACACCGCATCACAGAGCGCAACAGCCAGAGACAAGCAAACAAACCAAGCCTTTACGATCTGAATCGATCTAGAGCTAGCATCTCCTCGATCCCCCGAACTTTGTAGTAGTTGCTGTCCGCGCGTGCCTTTGAGGTCGAGGTAATGGCGCCCGTGTATGCTGCTGCGGACCACGGCACCAACGGCTCCGGCCTGACCCTGAACCCGGCGGCGGTGGCGCAGCGGGCACTCAGCCTCGTCGGCGCGTCCACGCCGCTGTCGTCGTCCACGCCGCCGGCGTACGGGAACGTCGTTACCGTGCTGAGCATCGACGGCGGCGGCGTGCGCGGGATCATTCCCGGCACCATCCTCGGCTTCCTCGAGGAGAAGCTGCAGGAGTTCGACGAGCGACCGGACGCGAGGCTCGCGGATTACTTCGACGTGATCGCCGGGACGAGCACGGGCGGGCTGGTGACCGCCATGCTCACGGCGCCCAACAAGGACGGCCGTCCGTTGTTTGCCGCCAAGGACATCAACGACTTCTACCTCCAGCACTGCCCCAAGATCTTCCCACCCAACAGCAGCGGCGGTCCTCTGGGGTTGTTCAAGAAGTTGTCGGGCCCCAAGTACGACGGCAAGTACCTCCACTCCATCGTCCGGGAGCTCCTCGGCGAGACGAGGGTGAGCCAGGCGCTTCAGAACATCGTCATCCCGACCTTCGACATCAAGCTCTTGCAGCCCACCGTCTTCTCCAAATACGATGTACGTCCATGCACGAGTTAGAGACACTTGATAATAATGGATATGCGCTGAATGTGCAATCTCGCTGCATGGTTGAACCTTTCGCTGTGCTAACGCTCCGGTGATTCACGCAGGCCATTAACGATGTCTCCAAGGACGCTCTGCTCTCGGACGTGTGCATCAGCACGTCTGCCGCGCCGACCTACCTCCCAGGGCACCAGTTCGAGACCAAGGACAAGGACGGCAAGCCCCGGGCCTTCAACCTCATCGACGGAGGCGTCGCAGCAAACAATCCGGTGAGTGACTGATTTGATTGACCACACAACTAACGTGCTAACGGCGACAAACACGAGGTGACGAGTAACACTTAGCTAGTACTAGCTAGATAAGAAAATGTGCACCAAACTTGACAAGTTTCGCAGTGTACTGTCAACGGCATGTAGTAGAAACAAGTGGATTACCAACCGTTTAATGTTGAGTTGACTTCTCTATGAACTGTTATCGATAGAGGCTGACGAAACTTGACAAATCTTGCAGACGCTGCTGGCGATGACGGACGTGAGCAAGCAGATCCTCCTGGGCAACCAGGACTTCTTCCCGATCAAGCCATCGGACTACGGCAAGTTCATGGTGCTGTCGCTGGGCACCGGCTCCGCCAAGGTGGAGGAGAAGTTCGACGCCGTGCAGTCCAGCAAGTGGGGGCTCCTGGGGTGGCTCAGCAACAAGGACACCACGCCGATCATCGACAGCTTCAGCCAGGCCAGCGCCGACCTCGTCGACATCCACGCCTCCGTGCTCTTCCAGGCGCTGCACTCGGAGAGGCAGTACCTCCGGATCCAGGACGACGAGCTCACGGGGGAAACGTCGTCCGTCGACGTGTCCACCGTGGAGAACCTGAACCGCCTCGTCGGCGTCGGCAAGGGGCTGCTGAAGAAGCCGGCGTGCAAGGTGAACATCGAGACGGGCAAGAACGAGCCCGACGCCCACAGAGGCACCAATGAGGATGAACTCGTCCGTTTCGCCAAGATGCTGGTGCGGGAGCGCCGGGCCAGGATCCAGAAAAAGGCAACGACAACACACTCTAAACATGGAGATATAGAGCCATAGAGGCCGGATATATAGTCGTGTCAAATATGTGTACAAACTAGAAAGTGTACAACATGATAGCCTAATAAGCCCCATGTGTTCTGCAATCCATTCGTTTATTCTCATGTTCTGTGTATCCACTTCAGTTAGTTCTCTTCCAAAGTGTCTACCCTCTCGTGGTGCACAACGTACAGCTTGTATAATTTGCCCATTTACACAGTACTCCAGCACGGACTATCTTATTTATATGAGCTCTTTTACGGTGGTTGATGGTAGTATCAGGTACTTTTGAGTACCTATAAGCGGTTAAACCTCTGATTTATTCTGATCGTCTGATGTGTGTAAAATATTTTACTAATTAATTTTATTTAGTTAAGAGGCATGGCTAGTACCCGGATGTCTGGACGCTAGCCCGTTGTCCGGACGCCCGCGCCACTGCCCCCTTCTCGCGTCCCGCGCCTGCCCACCCGCGCCACTGGGGACCCCCTCCGCCTTCCCACGTCTGACACCGAGGCGAGACAACAGAAAGGCGAGGAGGGAGATGCAACACTCGATATAGTTTTGAAACATCCAGATGCAACAATTGCAACATACGTCTGAAAACAAATGAAACATTTGAAACATGTGTTCTGAAACACTTGCAAAACACCTGAAAAAGCACTTGAAACCACTGTAAACATACGCAACATCCAGATAAAACACTTGCATCATATGTGTGAAAACCTATGCAACATCTAGATAAACACATTTGCAACATACATCGGAAAAAAAACATATGAAACATTAAGAACAGGGGCTTGCAACATACGTGTACAACATGTGCAACATCCTGATCTACTTTTGCAACATCCGTATGAAACACTTGCAATAACAGACGCTTACAACATGCGGTTTCAGCGAAACATCTCATTGATGCTTGGAGAATGGAACGGCATGTGGAGTTCACCGAGGCAGCGGCCCGGCGATAAAGCGGCTCGGTGGTGGCTGCGCGACAGGTAGGTAGGCAACGCGCCGGGCAGGGAGGCAATCGCAAGTAGCGAGCACCGCGACTTGCAGGTATGCGCTTAGTAGGGCCAGCATACCACGCCACCGTGACTCGTAGGCAGACGCGCACCGAAATCAGGAGAGGGCAGCCGCGCGCCGCATCTGGTAGGGTTGGTAGTCGAGCGCCGCTTGAGAGAGCAGAGCCAAGCGCGCTGCGTGCGGGAGCGAAGCGAAACGGAGCGGAGCGAGGCGTGCGGGAGTTGATTTTGTTTTTTTAATAGGTGAGTGGCGCATGCGGCAGTGAGTGAAGCAAGGCGTCCGGCCTTCCGGACGTTTTAATGGTAGCATTATATTACTGTTAGTTAAGATTAATAAGGTTTGTTCCTGTTCGCTTGGAACAACCCCTCCGCTTGCCGTAAAGAATTTTGTGTAGCCTGTGTATAAACCGCATTTGCTGCATACAGAGTCTCAGCGTATGACACGCCGATGCCTAACACATCACACGTACACGAGGACATCGGTTTGTACCACGCTCAGGTTCACCAGCCCTTCAGGCTTCGGCTCCTACGCAACGAGGCACACAACATACTGTGTGCTCGGCTTAGGTCAAGTACATTGGTATTGTCTCGTAGATAGTTTCATGCACTGCCACGTAATTATGAGATGACTTAAGAGGTAACACGTACAATAGATTGTCTTTTAAGTTGCCTCATAGTAATTCATAGTAATTTATGATACATCAATGCAAAGAAATGTTTGTGAGTTGCATGACAACAAACACTTGTACAACGGTGTATAAGTTGCCTTGTAGTCTTAAATTTGAGCTTATAAGGTGGTTGCTTCGCAAAACAACCACCTCGTTCTCTTACCTCCCTCTATCTTCCCTGTCACAAAAAAATCCGGTGGCGCTGCATGAGACAAGCTATGAAACTACTTATATGTACCAATGTACTTGACCTAGGCTCGTGTGCTGCCACCTCCGCCGTCACATCTGCTCCCGTTGCCACCGCCGCCGCATCCGCTCCCGTCGCGTACGTTGTTTGGAGCAGTTTATGGATCCATCTTGTTTAGTCCTCTGCGACTACCTCCTTTGCCGCCTCCTCTACTTCCCTCTCGTGGCCTCTTCTCTCCTTCATCACCGGACGTAGAGTTCCCGTTCCAGGGTTCAATTTGGTTAGATTCCACATGTTAGTTGATGGATTTCTGAAGTTTTGTTTCAACCTGCAGTTTACTTAACTGAATCGTAGTGATTCAGTCTCTATGCAGCTGTTCTAATAACAGTAAGATTGATTCAGTCTCAAATCTCAATCCAAAGAAGAATCGGCCTGCCCTAAATTGAAGATTGGTGATGCAGATAATGGATAGTACTAGTAGTCAGGTTCTTTACACAGGGAGCAACTCTTTGAAGGTCGTTGCTGATGGCATTTTATCTGCATACAGAGAGGTTTGCATGGTGCTTAGAAGTTAGTACCAAAAAACTTGTTCACTTATGCGTAAAAATAGGCAGAATCGAATGAACCATATGGTGCAAAATAGAGATAGATTTCTAGTGATAGGATCAGTGTTGATGACTCTTGTGTCAAATGACCTATCTGTAAATGGTCTGACAATGATTAATGTACAATGTAATTTTTTTGAATGTGAAATACATATACCATGTTGGATGGTTTTGAAGTCTGGATTGTGAAGTTTGGAATTGTGAAATAAATGCAAGACTGACATTATTGATACACATAGAGTTCTAAGCTGTGACATTACGGAGTCGCCGAGGTGGGGGTGGAAGGAAGAAGAAAGAGGAGTCACCGTAATCGGTGTGGTTGGATGGAAGAACAGAGACATCAGGACTATAATACTCCAATCATTATCTTTGTAATCAAAGTTATTAGGATCGGACCGGAGATCGAACTGGTCAACCTTTCGGTTCACGGTTTGATGGGTTCAAACCATTAAACCACCGGGTAAATAAGGTATAAATAAACTTAAATATATCACTCAAACAACAACATGGCCTAGTCGTTGATTTCTCTCCTCCAAGACTAGTAGGTTGCTAGGATCAAACCCCAGGCAAGCGCCCCATCTCTTTTTCTCCCTTCGAGGCTGAATTTACTATTTTATCCTTAACTACATAAAAACAATTCTAAAAAATAATAAGAATCGAATTGTTTTTACTGGTCCCACCAATTTAGTATGCATTTGGTACCTCCTGGTACTTTACCTCTTGGTACCTCTGTTTTTCTAGCCACTTGATCACTCCTCTCCAACAGTCCTCATTTCTCCAACCATAATAATCTCTATATTTACGCTGAAAGCTTCGTGGATACAATTTAGCATATACATATAGCTTATCAAAGTTACTTGTGTTTACTCTCTATTTATTTCTTAACAAAGTATCCATTCGGATACTCTATAATCTCTATATTCAAGCTGAAAGGTACTGTACTAAATAATACCAGAGCTGCACGTTAATGAAATCCACAGTGATGCATATCAGAAAATTTCAATCCACGGATTAGTCATCACAAATCTAAAGATAGTCCACGGAATCAACTTAGCATACATACTCTTCTTTTAATTTAACCGTGTCATACGCTGGACAAGGTGGCGTACTTCATGCATCATTAATTTTTATATACTACTAGTCGTCGTCAACACATGTCCATGCTATTGATTAGGGCGTCCATAACGGTGGTGGCGACGTAGCCTGATGATCTGGAGGTGTGAGAAAGGAAATTACAGCGACACGGATTACGGAGCGGTCACTCAGGGCTTCTGCAGGCCATGGGTCCCACTGTTCTCCTCAGTGTTTCCTCAGTAACACAAATCGATCAGCGATTTCTTGCAGCTGGCGAGTCCTCTCTCTTCTCTTTTTACAGTTCCACGTCAGATCACTGTCCTTGTCAGCGTTCAAATAGCCAGCCCAAATCGCCTTGTTGGGGGCGCCCTTATGGACTAACGCAAACCTTGGTCCTGTTTGACTTGTGAAAAATATTATATATCCATTCTTATTTTGAAGTGTGGCGTGGTATACGTAAAACGACACGCAACGTGACAATTATCCAAGTCGACCACATGCATGCAGGAGAAGTTTCCGCTCGAGGAAATGTGTATAGTGGACGTCAGAAATGTTCTCTGAATTCAGAAACGGAGGGATTTAATTAAAAGCACCGGTAGGAAGAGTATTTGAAGAGAGATTCTACGATGGCGATCGTGTTTTCTGAACAGAAAA